TATTTGCATTCAAAATGAATCTAGGGGGTACACAAACCGTAAACTTTAACATTTTGGAAAAAGTTGCAAAAGGGCCTCTTACACTATGGGTATGGTAAGACGCCCCCCCCCCCCCCTCGGGCGTTTTACAAGTCAAGTCGACTTGTAAAAGACGCTTTGCGAACACAGCTGCAAGGCCTTTTATTTCGAAAAGCTAAGCAAATACGGTGTTATCGAAACCAATAACACTTCCAAAGCGCTCGAACAATGCGAAAACTAGCACAACCAAACGCTGATGACCAACGAAAATTGTACCTATTACCTCTAAGAAAGGAAACAGAAAAAAGAAACAAAAACAAACTCCTTGAAAAAGAATGTCACGCCTGCCGCAGGTGCAAGCGTTTTAGCATCGGGGGCGTTTTTTATCGGGGGGCGTTTTATCGTCCTCGAAGGGAGGGCCTCTTAAAAAAATGCAGTGTTTTAACGTCACAATATTTATGGTTTATGAGACATTTGCAGCGCACCAGAACATGGTCTATTCTGAAGCTAACATGTGACAATTTCGATGAGATAAGATTGCATTCGATAGCCATTGTTTTTTTCAGATATATAAGGGTGATAAAGATGCATATATCTAGCAAGTAAAGGGGCAAAAACAGAAACAGGCTTACCAAAAGTCGCTGCGACGCACCTGATACCTCAGGTTTCGTGAGTTGTTGTTTCAAGAGGGCTTCTGCTTTACAAGAACATTAAAAAATAAATAACATCATTGGTTTGGTAAAAAAAGCGATGGGGCCTCTTACCGACCCTGGGCGTCTTACACGGATCTCCCCTACCACTTTTTTCCAATTTGACACCCTCATCTCTCGGAATTTGACGAGAATTGGTCTCAGGGGTAATCAGGGGCTCTGGATCCACCTGTAACAATTTCAGGCTTATCAGATAAGTATTTTTTGAGTTATGGTGTATAACATTTTTTGGATCTTGCTTTGCAGCGCTAAGTTTGGCGGGCTGTAACTCTAAGACGGATTATTCAAATGCCAAATGTTATATAACATTGAACTTGCAATGAAACAGAGATTAATATGTATTTTTGAAATTTCGAAAAATACGCTATTTTTGATATATGACATATCGAGTGTTCTTTCATTTGTATTTTTTGGACTTTGGGACCAAATTTTTTTGAATTTTTATTTCTTTAAAAAAATATTTGGCTCATTGTTAAGAAGTATGCAAAAAATTAGGAAGGTGTTCTTTCTATAAATGTATTTATTTTACGTCACGATAACGATTTCGAATGGTGATTTCGGGAGGGGAGCTTACAAATGGCGTGGTAAAGCTGCCTAGTGACATCACGGGTTACTGAAATTTCAATTCAAGTCTGAGTCATCTGAAAAAAGTGAAAAGAGGGTTCATTCAACCCTCTTTCTTATAAGCGCGGGGGTGAAAAAGGCTGTTTGGTTCTGACATTGTTTTGGACGCCAATGACCATAGCTGTCCGAGATGAAAGTTACAGGACGCATACATGGTGTCCTCCAGAGGTCTCACAACTTGTATATCTGGGAATTTTTCAAGGTTACATGAGGTCAGGTCGGTCACGTGACATCACTGTTATGAATCAATGGGGAAATATAAAAAACTGTTATTTTGGCGCCGAGAATGATCTAAAACTATCCCACGTACATGGTATCGTGATTCCATGCACTCCTTGCAAAGTCCAATACTTTACTTTTGCATTGTTAACCTTGCGTGACGTCATTTATGACGTCACTAGGGTCGTACGAGTTTTTCGTCAATAACCCCCGATCAAATCGAGCTAGAGAGTCGGGAAAGCCACCAATGGACTCGCGAAGACCTTCCGAATCGAATGATGTGCCATATGATACCCTTTGCCCAGCTTCGTGACCTGAGGGGCTCTGACCTGACCTTGACCCGAGGTCAACTACTTAAGTTGACCTCACCCTAGCAAAAAGTATACCATTCGATGCACCTGAGCTAGGCGAACACAATGATGCCAAAATCGCGGCTCTGCGGCCATTTTTTGCGAAGTTATTTACTAAAAACCGAACCCGTAACTTCAGTCACGTGACCTGACCTCAGACGCTACCGGTTGACCTGAGACCTTAAAATCGGGTACCAATCGCTTCGACTTGTAACGGCACACACGCTCGTTTTTTCCGCGAGGCTCTAGCTCTATTAGAAGCGAAACGGCGTGCTGGGGTCGTATCAACCCCTCCGAAACCCATTTTGTTTGCGGGAAAATGAGGAACTTATAGAAATAACACCTTTCTAATTTTTTGCATGTCGATTTGCGACGACATGAAGATTATTTTGAAAAAATAAAAATGTGAAAAATTTTGGTCCCAAAAATCATTAGAGGCAAATGAAAAAAGATTAAGGTTTTTGCTCAGCAATGAAATTTTTTCTTTGGAATTTTTAAATAGTAATATTAATTTTTGATTCATCGCAAGCTTAGTGTTGTTTACTTTTTGTTGGTTGCTTAGCCCGTTCTTGAGTTATAGGCCATCAAACTCACCGTTACATACCGAAGTTAAAAAAGTGTAATGCAATATAACTCAAAAAGTTTTGATCTGAGAAGTCTGATATTTTGCCAGGCGTCTTTGGGGCCTATGATTACCCCTAGGACCGATTTTCATTAAAATCTGAGAGATGAGGGTGACGGGCCTGGTACGATCTATCGTGGAATGCCCCACATGTCACAGTGACAAGCATTTTAGGAAAGTAAAACGCGGGGAAGTCTCTGACCTGATATGACTTATCCGATCGAAAAAAACGCATGTAAGGCTTCTTTATTTGTGCACAAATGTTTCCAAAATTCGTGGTTTTAGTTTAGGTAATCTGCCGGCCGACAGTTCGGTTGTTAGTGGAGAGTGGGCGGTGGCAGAAAGGCATGCAGCCTTCGTTCCAACCACGCGCGGACGTTGCAGACATTGTTCGGTGGCGCCATTTTGTCTTTCCTCCCTTTCCGGGCGTGGCGACGTCGGCGTCCGTCACTTATCTGCACTATCACGCTGCAGCCTACCGCGCGGTAGGTATTTCCGGCAGCACTCGACAGAAACCCCGGCTCAGCTGGCGGCCGGCCGTTGGCGGGCGCCCTGTCCCGCCCGCGAACCCCCGCCCTGTCCCGCCCGCGAACCCCGGTCCTGTCCCGCCCGCGAACCCCCGTCCTGTCCCTCATCGGACGCCGCCGTCCTGTTCCCTCCCTGACACACCAGGCGTGTGTGTCCCGCGTCTTCTTTCTGCAGCTTGGACTGCAGCACGAGGGGCGTGGGACGCGGGAGCCGCTGCTCGGAGCGACACGAGGGGTGTGGGACGCGGGAGCCGCTGCTCGGAGCGACACGAGGGGTGTGGGACGCGGGAGCTGCTGCTCAGAGCGACACGAGGGGCGTGGACGCGGGAGCTGCTGCTCGCTGTCGGCCGCGTCGCTTTGTTTGTTTGATTCGAATGCAAATGTGCCAGGTGGAGTGTGAAAATGACGCCGAGTTGGCGGAGGCGCCGGAGGGAGCGTGTCGCGCCCCCCCCCCCCCCCCGTGACGGAGGACGGTGGACTGGTGTGTCAGGCGCACAGTCCCAGCACAGCCCGTGGTCCGCGTCCTGCCCGGTCCGCAATTCTCAGTTCTCCCCGCCTTACCGCTGCACACCACTGGCACCTCGCGAGCAGGACTACGGTGACGTGACAGCGCGTTCCCCTGCCTAACCTCTGTCCGCGTCACATGTGGACGACGCCATGGTCGCTTGCGATGCCCTGGGGGACAGGTCTGCTTAGTGTCATCGGCGGACACGTTTGTGCGCACGATCCCCCGCCTCCCCCCCCCCCCCACTTCCTGCCCCCGCACAGGACCACGTCCTGTTTGACGTGTTAGGTATACATATCTATGCTGGCTGAAGTTTGGGCCGCATTAAGAATTTTCACTTTTCCCCTGATGTTATTCAGCTTTCTGCTTGGACTTTTTGGTATTCGTTATTGTTTTGGTACGCGATGGCCCGGTGTCTCGATGCTTTGTAAGTTCTCCGTACCGAGACTGGGCCGAGTCTCCATGGTTCTGTGAACCGTCCATTGTCCTCGCGGGGACCGGAGCGGCTCCCAGGCGACCGCTCACCGCTCTTCCTGATCGCAGCATCTGCTGTTTGAAAAGTTGACGTCGGTCGATCCGGCGACAGGACGCTGGGACACTTACGCTGGGACATCATTGTCTTCGGGGCGGCCCGTGAGACCGGGCACGAATTTCATACGATTTCGAATGTGATCCGGAGAAAGGACTCCTCAATCACAGGGTGCAGTGGTCCCCGATGAGGGGTGTTTTGTGTGTGGTCCGCGGTGCCCGGCCGGCCGGCGCAAATTGCCGCCGTCGGCTGCCGGTCCCGCCCAGCCTGTCCCACGACAGGCGGTTTCACTTCACGGCCGACCGTGTCCCGGTGGCCCAGAACGGCGGTCAGACCGGACCCTGCTCATTTCCCCATTAGATAGGCCAGCGGGGCGACTGGCGGGCACCGGTGTCAGCGGCTCAATGTCGTCCCCCTCCGGTTTTAGAGGTCCCTTAGAGTACAGGACTCCGGAGACCCCCACGGACGATCTGAACTCTGAGTGCCTCTGTCATATAGCAGTTTGAGTTAGATGTTCAGTGACTTTAATTTGTTTCAGACCGAGTTTTGGCATATCACGTCACTGATAATGGTGTTACGCTTTGCTCGAAATGTTCAAATTTCAAGTTATGTTTATGGAATCATATTTTGTGTGGGCTTCCCTTTTTAAAAATCGCTCGTCAAACGGATATAGGTACGCACGCTTGCAAAACTATCAATATAAGCCTCTCAAAAGTGTTGCGGGCAGTCATTCTCAGATTCCCTTTTTACAAAAGATTCGCCTCGTATTTAGTGCTGACTTCTAATCACTTATTCCACAACTGAGGAGTTTATTTTTAGGATACGTCTGCTGTGACGAGTGCACAAACCGGGTGCGTTCTTCCGGCTGACGTCGTGTGTCTCCCGTTCCATTCCAGACATCAGCCAGGAGATGGCGGCCAACTCCAACGACATCGTCAGCACCCTGCAGGCGGTCGGCATCGTCAAGTACTGGAAGAACAAACACATCATCCTCAAGAGACAGGTAGGTCTCGACGCGCCCCTGGGCGGGGGGTTGTCGGGAGTCGGGCCGTTCGTGACGCGTGGTCCGGTGTGTCGGGCTGGTTTGCTCTGTCCGATCCCCTGTAGGTTTATAAATCAATGTCTGGTGAGCTCTGATCGTGTCTGGTGTCGTCTCTCCGATTGGAGTGGGACGCTCGCAGTCTAATGGTGTTACCGTTTGACGTCAGACGACCGGCACCCGCCGGATGTGTCAAGTTCTTATTCAAATGTAGTACGTCGCATACTTATGCCCTTCATTCAATCCGCAAGAATGTTCTGTGTTCTGGGAGAAGGTCTTTCACCGTCATTGTTACGTGAATCACACGCCCGTTTCTCTGCGCCAGCGGGCTGTACGTCTATCGCCATTCTCTTTGTGCTTTCTCCCTGCTGCTGTGTTACTGGAACCATTCGAGATGGTTGGATGGCTCCCCACGTCAGATCCGTGATGATTCGGAACGGGTGGCGGCTCGACCACCCAGAGCGAGGGAAATCGGCGCTAAATCGAACCAGCTGCAACAACTCCGCCGGCTGGTGTCGGCGAGTTTCGCGGCTGATGTGGATATTTCTCGGTTGGTGTGGGTAGTTCTCGGTTGGTGTGGGTAGTTCTCGGTTGGTGTGGGGTATTTCTAAGTTTTTCTCGGCTGTCCGGCTCTGCCCTTCGGCTTGTGTGGGTGTTTCTCGGTTGGTGTGGCCTGTGGCGTATTTCTTGGTTTTCAAGGGCCCTGTTCTGCCGACCGACGTCTAGTCAGGTGTGTAATCACTGAGTCACTGCTGATCCGTGGGGGAGCGGTCTTTGTCTTCGCTCGTCGCTCTCGCAGAATGAGTTTGCATTCAGCATCGACTTCACCCTCGTCACAGAACGTTTTGAATCACCGAATCACTGAAAAGCGGGAGAAGGGGAGGAAAGTCAGGAATGGACGTCATCCTCTCTGCCCAGTAATCTCGTCATGGCGTCCTCTCCCGTGCGGTCGGCTCTCCCGCCGCCGCCGCCGCCTCGTCCGTCACCGTGGTCCCGCCGCCACGTGCCACGTGGTCGGGGCGTGGTTTTCCCGGCCGCCGCCGCCGCCGCCGCTTCCCGCTGCGGCAGCGACTGGCTGGCCGTCTCGGCTGCTGTCTGCGGCACCGCCACCGGAAACCGACCACTTCCGGTCGGCGTGACGGCGCCGGGCGTGACGTGATGGACGGATGTGGCGTCGTGACGTGATGGACGGATAAAGACCGGGCGGAGCGGGACCGGCGTGACGGCCGGGTGTGACAGATCAGCTGCAGTGGAATGTGGGGTGGACCGGGGGATGTGGACGGTGTGGAGCCCGGTGGATCAGCTGGCGGGGTGTGGGGATAGACCGGACGTAATGAGAGGTGAACGGGGTGGGTTGGCTGAGAGTCAGCTGATCCCAGTGACAGTGGTGGCGGTGGTGGGTAGAATTCACATGGGTTTCTTAACCTTGGTGACCGCCTGAGCTCTGTGTATGCATCTCATCATACCCTGCTGCTGTTCAGCCGACAGCCGCTGAACGCTCATCATCTAACGAGTGTATGGGACGAGGCTGGTTATTGCATGACGCCATCGAGAAATGCATTAGCTTCAGTCATAAACCTTTTCCTTACAATCTTGGACTCGTATGCCCAGTCCACGATGACGACCGCTGCACATTTTCACTCATTCTTTTCATCTAGCCTGGTGCCACTCTGCTTCCTATGCGAACGACCGTCCGCCCCGGCTTATGTAACTCGCTCTAGTGATGCTTATGTAACGAACGTACTGTTCTAGTGGCTAGGACTGGCATCCTGCTCAACAGCTGAGAGGCCACTGGTCTCCCGACTGCCTCTCTCTGCTATCGCCGGAGAGAGAAGTGCAGTGGGCTGCAGCCGGGAGACTGTGCCGGTCGGCAGCGGTTGGAACGGCCCGTGTCTGTCGGACCGAGGCCGCTTGATTTCTGGACTGATCAGCGATCAATGATCCTACCGACCGAGTACTGCGTCAGCAAATTTACCATCATCATCGCCATGCTACGGTCGTCACCAGTGGCAGTGCGCAGTCATCTTGTGGTGCAGTGTTTCCATAAACTGCACGTCTCACCACTTTACCAGCATTATGTCTCTACTCTTTAAAAAAGAAGATTCCTAGGACAACCCAAGCCGTGTCCTTACTTTCCTTAGGACTGAACAACTACTCTTTCCACTAAAGTTGTAAATGCTGTTGTTAAGCTGGGACAGGTTTCATTCTCAACCTGATCTGACGCTCTAGTCAGCAAAGGTCCGACGTCGCAAGTGCCTTATCAATTCTCCTCGAATTTAGCAGGGAGCAGCCAGTCTGTAACTTTCTCTAATAGTCTGGCGTCTCGACTACCAGCCCCATATCTTTGGTCTGTCATGGCCTCAGGGCCGCCCATGCCTCGTAGCGCCCCCCCCCCGCTGTCTGTATCCGGGTGCCCCCCCCCCCTGGCGGGGAGGCGGTCGGTCGCTGGGTGCCCTTTGACCGAGCCCTCGGCGGCCACTTGACTGTCGGAGCTGGGGCTGTCACGGCTGCCGTCAGCGGCTCCGGTTCCGTTGGCTATCGCTGCGAACAGTCCTTCAGCAGGAGTCGACGGCGGCGGTCTCAGAACCAGAGGGCACGACCAGCCCTTCAGTCTCAAGAGGCCGGAGTCGGGAGGTTCAACCCGCTCTTCAGTCTCTGAGGTCGAGGGGCATAGCCTAAACTCGTCAGTCACAGAGGCCAGGAGGTTCAGTCATCCCTTCAGAGGTCAGGGGGACTGAAGCCTATCCCTTCAGTCACAGGTGCGAAGGAGGCACTACCAGCCCTTCAGTCAGAGCTAACCACTGACCAGAGTCTGAGGTCGCCGACTCGCCCAGCCGTGTCCGGAGAGGCCGAGACCTGGTCGGGAGGGAGCTTCTGGATCGACGCGGCGCGATCTGGGCCTCGTTTCATAAAAGGAATTACTTACGGCGTTCCGTCAATTATGCCAGATTTGGCGTATTTGATGCCAATTCGGTTTCATAAAGCCGGAGACCGGAGTAATTCACGCCATCGAAAGTACGGAGCTTCATTTACGGCAAACGCTCGATTCCGGACCAATTGATGCCATTTGGGTTTCATAAAACGACGTAATTAACGCCAAATATTTTATCAAGCTCTTGATATCAGTGGTGTAAACTACGCACGAAAATGTTGCGTGATTTTGAATTAATGTGAATATTCGAAGCTAATTTTTAATATATTTTATAATGTTGAGCCCGGTGAGGAAGAAAGAACAGCCAAAATGAGAAAAAGAAACTGTAAATCTTCTGTACCAGTCGCTTTTTGTGGCCACTATCGGAATTTTGTTTATTCGCCGCGCCGCACCACTTTCGTAGTTAGGCATTTCTGCTTAGCTGGCTTTCTGCTGTTTTTAATATATTGTTTTATTAAAAGATGGTCATCAATATCAATTTTGTTTTTTCATAAATAATTTTTAAGATTTAAATTCAACATAATTGTTTTATAATTTCTCGTAAAAAGAATAAGTGTTGACATGAAATTGTAATTTGTAGAACGCTTGATAAATTACGGTAACTACGCAAATGTGCTTAGTTACGGAGGTGTAAACAATTCCAGTCGTGGCTTTGTGAAACGGCTTCATTTGCGCTCCGTAGTTTGAAAGGGTGTGAATTACGGAAAGGTGTAAGTTACGGCAGAGCTTTATGAAACGAGGCCCTGCTGCAGTACTGCTGCCAACATTATACAGGATCATGGTGGCGTGGATCGTCCAATGACTGCTTCCGGGGGTTCATAGATTTTGACCACCGGTCCTTTGCGTGCCCTTGTGTCATTTCACAATGTCGAGGGCCGGAAAGCATGCAAGCGGGCTGCGATTACGTATTGAGCTAAAGATCGAAGTGATTCGGGCTAGACGTTATATAACGGGTCCGTCCACCCTCGCCAAATTCCGGACAGCGGTTTGTGTACCTTTGGGAATGGTGAGCCCGCTGCTTCGTTATGAGTTCCGCGACTTAGTCAGGCCGTCACCTTTGGTCTTTACTGTGGTATTTCCTTATTGCTTCTGTTCTGGGTACCTCATAAATACCGACATGAAAAGCAGTTTGTGGCCTCTCCATGCCATCAAGTGAACCCGTTGGCCAGATCGGTAGATCATTCTCTTACGGTAAAATCAACTCAGATATGTTTCCTCGCAGCGTATGACTCAGACCAGTAACTAGCAGCCCCGTGGACGGATGATGTTACGTAGCGGGATGGTGACTGGCGCCCGCATGTCGGGCACCGACTCAGGTGGGGCGCGCCTGTCGGGGAGTCCCGATCCGGGGGATCCCGGCCCGGCGTCCTGCACTTGCCACTGGATAGTGTCACACTGCTGACGGGACACGGCGGCGTCGTGACGCCGACAGGACACCTGTGCCGGATGGCGTGACGCGAGTCAACTCAGTTTTATTAACTATATCGGGCCCACGGCCCACCGCCACTATGTGAGCATCATGGGCAGACCAGCGCGCTAATATCGCTGGTAGAACATAGATCGGACGGCACCGACAGAACAGAATCCTTCGGACATCACTGACACTAGACAGGACACCATGGACGTTGACGTCACTGGCAGAACGCCAACTGACATTTATGACAAAACGGCGCCCGGGTGGGACAGTGGCTTTCTTTAGTGACTTCTCGTCCCAGACGGTTCGCTGTATTTTATCGTTGTGTTCCAAGTTTGAATATTTTTTCTTCAAAATCGTCCTCTATTTCTTTTTGTGAATATTTTTCTCTGGTTTTTCGAAAATCACATTGCTCGAACGGCCCATCTTCTTAGACATGGAGATTCTGTTCGAAAATCACATTGCTCGAACGGCCCATCTTCTTAGACATGGAGATTCTGTTCAGCCAGGTCGTGTGACCTCTATCTTAACCCTCGCCCCGTTGGGGGGGGGGGCATTTTGGCCCCCCCCTGTGATTTTTCTGAATAGCAAGAAAACGGCGGCGTGCGCGCCGCCAAA